GCGCTGGGTAAAATATGGACAAACCCAGCTATTGGGTTGTTTTGACCCAGTGGTTGGGTTACTACCCAGAAGGTTGGGTTAAACATTTCACTCAACCGCTGGGTCAAAACAACCCAATTGCTGGTTTGTCCATATTTCACCCAGCGCTGGGTTGTATTTAACCCAGCATTTTTTAGAGTGTAATCTGCCTGATGTGTCAGATTCTAGGGTACACAAATTAAGTTAAGCTAAATATCCAGACTGCTAGTTTACAGCAAGCAGAAGGCAAGAATATAAAGTATATTGCATGGCTTTGGAAGAATTATAAATATGGAACGTATTTTCTGTTTTTATGGTACATTTCATGCCTCTTTGGAACTTTTTTTTGTAAATGTCACTCCTCTGTCAGGAACTAATTTATTGTCAGTGCTTGTATGGTTCAAACGTATGGACTATTGCTGCAGATGCTCACTATATTTCACAATGGTTATGTTATTACAACATGCAGGCGTCTTGAAGTGACTCAAAAGGAAGTTGAGTGTCTGGTCCCGCTTTCAAGGACGCAACCTATTGTATGGCTATTACACTCTATATAGCTTGAAGGAACTTGAAAACGTATTATTTTTGGCCTTTTGTCACTTTATAGAAAGGGCGGAAAGTGATGTGTAGAAGGAAGGGTATGGATCAGGAAATTACATGAACCGGATTCAAATTGTCGTTGCCCATGTGAGCTAATTGCTAGGCTACATGTCTGTCAGAAATTAAAGACTGAATTACTTCTTGATATTTAGTTACTTTGGAAAGCTTTTGTGATTCTTTGCTGATTTCAATCTCTATTAATTAATCCTCAATTTTTGACGGTTCACTTTAACTTTAGTCTTGGATGCATAGTAAAGGTGTAAACATTTAGACTGTTACCCAGTTTCTGCACTCTCAGAAATAAAGGTACAAAAGTTGTCACTGGGGCGGCACCTTTTCAAAAGGTACACTTTTGTACCTAAAGGGTCCATATTGGTACCTTAAAGGTACACATTAGTACCTAAAGTGTACATATTAGTACCTGAAAGGTACAAAAGGGAACCTTTTTAAAAGGTACCGCCCCAGTGACAGCTTTTGTACCTTTATTTCTGAGAGTGTGTTGTGTTGTTTTGAGCTGTTTTCTTCCTTATTTCCCGTGAAATCCTGCTTCATTGGAATAAGTGTTTAATTGCAAACATGGTGTTAATATAATACACAATTTCCCTGGAATCTATAAATCAGATAATATTCATGTCAGGTCATTTTCAGGTTTGGTTACAGTACTCAGATAAAGCATTCTGATCTATGTTTGTGTTATAGATCATTGATCAAGAGATCAACCCTTATGTAGACCAATGGGAGCAAGAAGGGCAATTTCCTGCTCATAAGCTCTTCAAAATCCTGGGTAATGCAGGATTTCTAGGAGTCAACAAACCTGTGGGTAAGTAGACGTTTGTTAATTTACCTTAAGCATACAAGTGACCCATTCTTCTTCATCTTACATTTGTATTATTTCCCTCCTCTTTTTGCAACAAAACGGTCATATTAAGTTTTTCATGCCAGTTTCATTAAACTCTCTGACATTTAGAGTTAAACTGGAAGTTTAACTCTAACTGTAACCCTAAATCTTCAGCCACTCTTTCCTAAAACTGGCTCCTTCCAAAGAATGCTATATCCAGAGCGGCAGGTGCTACATAGCCAGTTTGGGCATTATGCTTCTGATTCTTGATGTCAGAACAAAGTTTCAGCACAAGCAGTTTGTGCAGCTTAATGTCTGTGTTCTTTTAGTACTGTGAACTAGGGTTGTGACGGTGAGGAAATTTTCCCACCGGTTAATCGACGTGTGACAACACTGATAATACCAGTATCACGTGGGGGTTGGGGGCGTTTCCTCTTTTCCTCGCTTTCCTTCACTTTAAAATAGCTTGCAAAAGCAGCATGCTGCAATTTACTTTCACTTTCAAATAGCGGCAATTCGCAGTAAAGCAATTGTTCGTTTTTAGTTCGTTTGAATTTTCCCACTTTTCCTCCCTTTCCTTTGCTTTTAAATAGCTTAAAAACACAGAGCGCATTTTACTTTTACTTTCACTTTCGAATTAGCGGCAATTCAGCATCAATTGCTTGAATGCAACAACAAAATACAACGTCAAACTCACTTAGCCTATATATAAAACATTTATTAACAAAACGAAAAAAATACACCATGCTATAGGGCAGGCTATGCCTAATATAAAATATGTAAACATGTATAATATATAACCAAATAAATAAGAAACATAGAAAGGTTATTAGCAAAACGAATAAGAAAGCTTGGAGGCACGGCATACACCTCAATGTCAAATAAAATAAATAAATTACGCAAACTTTAAATAAAGTAAAAATCAGCAAACACTGTGGAACCAATTAAATAAGAAATTAATGTTTAAAAAAAAACTTCCAAAATCACCTTAGATAAACGGCAAATGTCAACAGGCTTTTCAAAATCCAAAATACTGCCAAACAGGCGCTTTTGCATTTCGTTTCGAAACTAAATCATGCGCGACCGTCTTGTCTGTCTCACCTCACTCTTCTTGTCAGTCAGCTCGACTCACTCTCCTCACTGGAGAAATTAAATCTGATCTGTGATGCGACTGTCGTTCGGCACGCTGCATTGAGCAGCCGCGTTCAGTTTTTAATTGTAGTGTCTGTTCTTTTACTGAACTAAATGATTTTTATTACTATAAAAAAAATCTAAACGACGGTGGGGGTCGGTGCCGCGGTGGGCAAGTGACGTAACCAATGTTGCGACTTAACAACGGTATCACCGTCAGCACCGTCTATTGCGGCAAGCATACTGTGAACTCTATTCTATTCTATCTCTCAAGATCAAGGAAAACTTGATGTGACCCCTTGAGGGCAGCAGGTTGAAATATTGCTCTTTCACAGGAAAATATGCATTTAATGTACAAAAAATTTTACATTTAGATTTTCCAGTAATGACAGAATTACAGTTCTAAGTAACCTCCTTCAGAAAAGTAGAGAATAAGAAGATTGTAGGGAGCCCTTTAAAAAGTCTTAGGTTTTTTATGTGAACGCAAATGGATTCATGAGAAAATAACAACATGGCTCCAAGAAGCAATTATGAGAACAGTGGAAAACACCTTGTAACACAAAATAGATTTGTGGCCTTATACACATATCAAAATGTCAGTGCACAGCTTTTTACCATACAGTTCAAAGCATTGCTATAAAATCCCAATAATTGAGAAGAATAAAGAACAACCAAAAGGAAATACAGCTGGTGCCTGTGCATATTTTAAAAGCCCACAGGCTCTCTGTGAAGTGTCAAATTGCAAGTTAAAAATTCAAATTTATTGATTTAATTAAAGAAGTTTAATGAGTTGTCCTGATATCTTAATGTTGATAATTACATCAACGTAATACTGTGTGTAACTTCAACTTAAATATCTGTGTTAGTTTGTTTAAAACATTATTTAAGTTGTACTAACTCAATGTAATTAGCTCCATAACTTCGTTTTTTCAAGTTCACGTTTCAGGTTCCCAGCATGCTTTGCATGTGACTGAATAATGGGCGGTAATGTAGAAATAAACTAATCTTTTATGCATTTCTATTCAAGATCAGAACAGGAGAAGATTTATTAATGTTCAGTGTTCGGTTATATTAGTATTTAAAAGTGTTTCTGTTATGTTGGTGGTTTTTATGAGATTACCATTGTGCTGAAGAGTAGAGCGTTTGCTTAGGTTGAGAACAGACTCACTGGACGTTGTCTGACATGCTGTTTCAATCAGAAGGCAATTGGTTGAAAATGCTAAAAGATTGGTTTCCTGGCAGCGTTAAGTGTCGTTTCATCAAAAAATAATATTTTAGTAGTGTCCAGTAGTAACCAGTGTCCATGATTGAATCAAATTTAAAACAATGTGAAAAAACAACTTAGAACAACTTAATTTTTATGAGTATTCAACTTAATAATTGTTAGTTTTAACACAATTTTCTAAGTATATATAGCACAATATAGTGTATTAGTTGAACTTAATTTCAGAAGAAGTTGCCTTAACTCAAAAAAATTGATGCAAACTGTTGCGTGAATTTTTTGTTGTTGTGTCTAAACAATATTTTTTAGAGTGTATACATTTCATTAATGTACAACAGATTGTCTTGGTATGTCTGTAGTCAAGATAGCAACAAATATACCATCCAAATCTAGGATTGTAAGAACTTGTGCAAACAATCAATGACTGTTGAGCCTCATTCTTAAATAGCATGCATATAATATTGTCATAATTTATTTCATTTTTCCTCTTTTTAACATGATATAGCAAAAGTTATAGTACTTAATTATTTGGAATACAATACAGTATAATTGTTAGGTGGCTGAAGGCTCTGGGGGAAGCAGCTTCATAAATCTGTAGGTCAGAGGAGAGCAGCTCTTGCATTAAGAAGTGCTGACACTGACACTTCTGCATTAGCAGGCTGGATTTACAGCATCTTCTTAGACAGAAGATTAGTACTCGGAGCATTGCCTCATCTCTTTTGATATGTGCAGCACAAATACACCAGCAAGTCTCTAAACAATAACATCAAATCTGTTCAGGTGAATTGTGACTTGACTGCTGTAGGCTAAACCGGAGCTTTTCCTTTATGCACTCTATTTTTCATCTCTCATCTGTGAGCTCACTCTCGAGATTTGGGGGAGTTTTGAAGCTATTTTTATATTCAAAATCCACCATAGTCAGTGACTTAAGAGGTTGAAATTTTTACATTTATAGAAACCAGCACCATTTAATGTAAACATTTTTCTTAAAGCATACTTTACAATCTTGGCTACACAAAAAATGAATAAATAAAAGGTTATTGAACACTTCCGTGGTTATGGAATATATAGTATTAAGTATACAGTTCAATGAACACACATTACCTATCAGCAGGGCTTGTTGTCACATTATTTGGGGTATGTTGTCACAATGTAACTTACTTTTAATTCACCTATTATACGCTTTTTAGCAAAATTTCAACAGTAAAACAATTATGAAATGCAATTTATGAAACAGCAAATGGTAAACGGTAATGTACAAAAATATAAAATCATTATATTGACCAAGCAATATTCTAATTGATTCAGTACGTTTACAAATTATGATTTAAATCAATTGCCCTAACTTGATATTTATGAAAAATACTCATCCTGAAAACGTTTCAACTTTTAGTGTGGAATTTACCTTCATTATATAGTTGAATTATGTCTAAATATGTTTCAGTTGTGTTTACTTGTTTACAACAGCTACTCTACAGCAGAAATATGGTATTGCCATTTTCGTTTGGGAGACAGAATTCACAAAAATTATGGAACTAAGTGTTAAAAAACACTTGTGTAATTTAACTTAACAAAACCTTATAGTCAGTTACTGAGAAATAGCTCTTGTGAAAACAAGCCCTACTGGCGTAAATCCAGAATGTCTGTTTTTCCAACCCTGGCAAACGCCGATAAGACACTAAGACTCCGTTCTTATCCAAACGAACAGTCTTTTGACATTTACTCCCAAAATATGTGGGGATACATGGTCTCGTTTCTCTTGAAATACCTCTAATTTCACATCTATGTGGTGATTAAATGTACTGTGCAAGGTTACCCCACCAAACAGGAGAATCACTCTCCACGGGAAAAAAATAAATAAATGCAATTTCATGTTCACACGCACACAGAGAATGGAAATGTTGACCACCTTCCAATAGCTGTCCTTCATAAAGCTCAGATCTGCTTGTTGACATATGACATTAAACATCCTTTTTCCATTTTGTTCCAACTGTGTATCTTAGTATTTCATACTATACAAACCCATATAAGACTATTACACAGTATTTGCATTGTAATGTGGAAAACAATCACAGTAACAATCAGAATTCCATCTCTTTAATCATCTCAAATGTTGTTCTCCAAGACTCCTTAAAGTTAGTTAAGCTAGTTGTGGTCAAGATAAACAAACCGTCTGTTTAGATGCATCTCACTAGATCATCTGTTTGGATACAGAATTGTTGGACTTCAGCTGTTCCTGTGCAGCTGTATCTGTTTCCTCTGCTCTCTGGCTTCTCTTTTCCTTATTTTGCTACACCAAATGCCGTCCACAACCATTGCGGGACCTGATGACAGAATACAGCGTCCTGTAGTACTGGGGGAAACAAGCTTAGTGTTCACCACAGTCACTAAAGGACTTACATTTCAGCATTATTGTTGCCCTTATTGCTTTCACAGAATAGAATCATTTCCTTAATGTCGAAATTTTTGTTTCCTGAAGGAAAATACTAAATGAAATGGAACATGAAATTACATGAATAAATGCATGACAAGGGAAAGTATCGTGGGAAACAGTAATGCTTTTATTACGGTCAAATGTAATAGCTTATACCACGTTTGCACAAGACATTGTAGTATGTTATAATGAAGACTGAATGGACTGCAGGGGTGTGAAAAGGGAATGTCAAGTTTTAGATTACTGCATGGCAAAAATATGTAGACGACTCTTACATGATGCATACTTGTCTTCAGTACTGAAGTAAGCCAGTTCAGATTAATGCTGCCCAAGAACAAGGAGACCTGATAGAAACGGTCTAAATTACACCAGCTTTGTGATCAAAATGTTCAAATCTTCTGAGATATTTGACTTAAAGCTGCAGTCCGTAAGTTTGTGTTTAAAATTTATATAATAAGCGAGTACACCATGAATCCATTTTCCAAACGTGTTTTTGGCTTGTCCTGAATCACTACGGAACACCTATAATAAGTGTTTATATTCGGACTATTTAGACTGGTTCGGGTAGGTACCGCTGCGGAGTAGCCCAGTACCTGAGTGATTCGCCATAGACATAAACAGAGAGAAGTAGCTCCGGCTACAATGTTCTTCCGCAAGACGCACGCAGTTCTGTTTACTAACCGCTAGAGCGCCAAAAGTTACGGACTGCAGCTTTAAGCATTAATTTCAAATGTTTACATGCTCATTAACAAAAAACTGAAGAGATGAATCATTCAGGTGATCTGCTAACTGGACATTCACTTATCTTTTTGTTCACTGGCTGCAGAGTATGGAGGTCTGGGGTTGGACTTCAGCTACAGTGTGGCTGTTTCTGAAGAACTGGGGAACATCAACTGCGGAGGGATTCCCATGGCCATCGGCGTGCAGAGTGATATGGCTACACCTGCACTGGCGAGGTATTTCTCCTGCTAGTATTCTTAGCCTTTAAGTACACCTCAAACAGTGGCTATGCTCAGAATCGAATGCTACACAAAATACTGCACTTTACACTGCTTACTATTTTTTAGGATTAGTAACTGAAACATAGGCATTATTCCATGATAACAATTTCCAACTCTATGCTACATTGCTCTTCACATTGGTTAATTCTGGTTTCTTCATCAGGTGGCCTTGTCATTAAATGACATTTGTCTCAAAATATTCTTCTCACTCTGAAAGTAAAAAAAGACGTGGTTAATGAAAGGTACACTGCAAAACTCATATTCTTTAACTATTTTTATTTGTTTACTTGAGAAACAAAAATGTATGTAAGAGATACTCACTCCTTTTTTTAGAGAATATCTCTAATTTAATAGAATCTCAGTTAAATAGAATTAAATTAGTCAACCCATTTGCAAGAGATCTCTCTTTTTTTGCTAAATAAAAATTAATTAGGTTTAGGAAAAATTGTCTAAGGAAAAATAAACTTAATTTTAAGATATATTCTCTTATAAGAAAATATATTATGCAATTTTGCTTTGCAAGTAATCTATTTAAATGCATATTTAAAATCTATTTCGATTTTATTTACTTATTTATTTCTGTGTTTTTATTTATTTTTAATGGCGAAAAGGCAAAAAAAATGATTAGAAAAAGTATTTTATACAGTGTATTAATAGAATGTTGGGTAAAACTTTTAAATAGGGAACACTTATTCACTATTAACAACGACTTTTCCCTCAATAAATTCCTAATTTTCTGCTTATTAATAGTTAGTAGATTTTATTTACTTATTTATTTCTGTGTTTTTATTTATTTTTAATGGCGAAAAGGCAAAAAAAATGATTAGAAAAAGTATTTTATACAGTGTATTAATAGAATGTTGGGTAAAACTTTTAAATAGGGAACACTTATTCACTATTAACTACGACTTTTCCCTCAATAAATTCCTAATTTTCTGCTTATTAATAGTTAGTAAGGTAGTTGTCAAGTTTAGGAATTGGGTAGGATTAGGGATGTAGAATAAGGTCATGTAGAATAAGGCATTAATATGAGCTTAATTAGTACTAATAAATGGCTAATATTCTAGTAATATGCATGCTAAGAAGTAACTAGTTAAGAGACCCTAAAATAAAGTGTTACCGAATGTTGCTGTAGACTCTGAATGAGGTATTTCTTCACCATGTGTTGATAGACTCTTAAAACATTAAATCGTCATTTATTGTAATTATAAATAAATGATCAATTATAAATAAATACTGTAGTCATCAGGATGGTTCCATTTCCTCTTTTTAGTATTTGACATATTCTGACTGCAGCAGGTTGTACGCTGTCACTGAGGGGATTTTACTGCACTGTGCTCACTCTCTGGAAACACTCATTTTTCTGTGCATATTCGTTTTGGCTATTTGGATTCAGAAAATCTGGGATTTTAGGGATTTTGTTTAGTTTCCTTTGTGATTCTGCCCTATGGAACAGTTTCTGAAATTGCATTTGCTGCTAGTAAAATGTAAATGTCTTCTGTAACCCATGCTGCCTCATGAGCTTTCAATCACTGTTGCTATGACACTCACAAAATAACAATGAGGATGTGACTGTGACCTCTGTGCTGTTTTAGGTTTGGTTCTGCAGAGCTCAAGAGAGAGTTCTTGCAGCCCACCATAATGGGAGACATAGTGGCCTGCCTCGGGGTGAGCGAAACTGGGGCCGGCTCTGATGTAGCAAGTAAGTATTTTGCTGGAGATAATGTACATAACAGGAAAGGCATGCTCTTTTTATTGCCATGGGGGTGTTTTAAACAAGATGTAAACATACACCAGACGCAAATCTAAAATTAATTACTTTCCCAGATGAAGATATCAAAGCATTTCAGGCCAGGGAGATTAAAAGACTTGCCTACAAGGGAATACCACACAGGGAGATGCAGATCTATTTTTCATAAATGTATTAAATTTTGTATTTGAAGTAAAGCTGGTACTAGTCACATATTATTAATGAGTTGTTTTGAGGTTAAATGAAAGTACAGTATTACTTTATTTTACATTTAAAGCCAAGTATGATCTAAAGCAGTGATTCTCAACCTTTTTGGCTTGAGGGTCCTTCTTTGTCCATCCAAAATCCTTCAATATCCTCTAATATTTCTTCTGTAATGATGACAAAGCTGGTTGTTTTGAACTTTTTTATTAACAGAAACTGGGAGTGGTGATATAGTTAAATTAACCACAGTTCATTTTGTGATTCCATAAAAGTGTTATTTTTACATAACAAAAAACTAATAAAAATACTAAAATTAAAATGAAAACTGAAAAATATAAAAATAAAAGCTCATTTCAAATACTAATAAATACTAATAGTATATAAACAATACTAAAATAACATTTAAGCATTTATATAAAAATGTCAAGTTTAAAAGTTTTAAAGTTAAAAAAAAATTTTTTTTAATATTGTGTAAGAAAACTAAGCTTAATTTAAGATAACCCAAATATATTATGCAATTTTGCTACTCAAGTCAACTGGTCTAACTGGCTAAAAAATATCAAAATATGAAGTAGGAAAAAACTAAAATTTTTAAAATTAAAATGTAAAATATAAAAATAGAAACTAATTTAAAATAATGATAAATACTATAATAGTACATAAATAATACTAAAATACACTTCAATAAGTTTCAAGAACTCGTTCTTCAATAAAACAACAGTTACTGTGGGGGAAAAACTTTTTTTTTAACATTTTCATTAGGTAAGAGTGTTTAATATATTAATTTATTATTATTATATTATAATAATAATAATAATATACTAATTTAAATAACTTTAAGTGACACCATGGCCCCATTGAAAGCTTTCTGAAGCCCCCTAGTAGGCCTCTGCCTCCTAACTGAGAACCACTGATCGGAAGAGTCTAATTTATAAATACTGTCTCCTTCAGGCATCAAGACTAAAGCTGTGCGCAAAGGAGATGAACTTGTCATTAATGGAGGAAAGATGTGGACTACTAATGGCACTCAAGCAGACTGGATGTGCCTCCTGGCCAACACCAGCGATGGCCCTCCACACAAGAACAAATCCTTAATCTGCTTACCTATGAATCTGTCAGGTAATACTTTACGCAAAAGCACAAAACTTGAGGAAAAGAGTCTTTTTTCTGCCAAAGAAAACATGCTAATGTTTTACCATTCGTCCGCAGGCGTTCATATCGCACGCAAGATCGATAAAATAGGCATGTGGTCATCGGATACAGCAGAGGTGTTTTTCGATGACGTGCGTGTGCCTTGCAAAAATGTCATAGGGCAAGAGGGAATGGGCTTCACGTACCAGATGCTACAGTTCCAGGAGGAGCGACTCTGGGGGGTGGCCAATAGTAAGTAACCCATTCCAACTCCCACACATCCCACCGCACGGCAAACATTTCTCTTCACTGGCACGGGCATGATGTCAGTGTGTTAATGTCAGTAGTGCCTGTGTGTTTACAAAGCCAGATCGCTCTCCTCTCAGGCCCAAATGTGTTTATCAGTGAGGCAAACTTCAGGATGAACTTGTGTGTTTTGCTTTAATCATCAAGGAAGAAAAAGGTCTGGCATGTTCTGGAGGATCTTTTGACATCATTAGCCAACATTTCAGCCTTCCTGTCTAGATATTATCAGGACTGAAATCCTACAACTATTTCATCTGGCATATAATTTATTGAAACACACGTCCGAATTTTTCCTATGACCGGATATTGTCATACTTGTTTTTCAAGTCCTGACGACCATGGAGAAAGTTGTCCAAGAGACCATCAATTACACCAGACAGAGGAAGATCTTCAGTCAGCCGATTCTATACCACCAGGTTGTTCACTTCAGGCTGGCTGAGCTGCAGACAGAAATCGAGCTGTTGCGCTCCCTTTTGCATCGTGCCACAGGTAAGTCTGACTGTTCCTTAAATTATCCCAGAATGATTTTCTAGACCAAGGCAGCTATGCAATTTCATGGGTTTGGGTCTGGTAGGTCTACAGGGCCACTGATTTCCAAATTAATAATGGAAAGAAATGGTGTGAACACTGGCTTGCAATCAGTCCATTTACATTTTAAATCCCTTAGGTTCTGAAATCAAAAATTGGAGCTGAACCTCAGCATGTATGCCTGAAAATGAATATCTCTGAAATTCTTAAGACGTTTTCTTGTGCACTTTCATTAGCTCTGTACATTAAGGGAAACAATGTAACAAAGTTGGCATCAATGGCCAAGCTGAAGGCAGGACGACTGGCCCGAGAGCTCAGTGACAGCTGCCTCCAGTACTGGGGTGGCATGGGCTTCACCAGTGACGTCCTAGTCAGCAGGTTCTACAGGTCAGTTTCTCTCATCTGAACTAAGGTGAATGCGCTCTCAGAGCTGCAGTGACATTGAAAAGCAACAGGTTTGAAATCCATGTATTCACTCATGAGTTTGGGCGGAAAGAGTCATGTCAGTGTGAATGCAGTGAATCAAACTTCTGATTTTGAAAATTGTAAAAAAAAAAATTGTAAGCCTAGTCCTCATCTGTCAGGTCACAAATATATATAATCTGTTTTTGTTTTTTTGGTTTTATCAGGGACTCCAGATTAATGTCCATTGGTGCAGGAGCTGATGAGGTGATGCTGTCAATCATATGCAAGTACATGGACACTCTACCCAAGAAATGACATCACCGATAGGAGTTCAGTTTGAAAAACAAAGTGCACTTAAATGGAGAATCTGACACTAAATATAAATTAACTAGTTATATCAGTTATAAAAGCAGTTAGCAACTTTAAGATGGATGATTTGTACATTGCAGTAAATGGTACCTCAATATAGTTTAATAAAACCTTTATATGTAGTCATATGTAACATATGTAAATTTTGATTATAGTTGTAAATGACTTTGTTATTATGCATGAAAAATTAAAGTTTTCATAATTAAGACGCTTGTAAGATTCCTGCGAACCATAAATGGAATATATGAAAACAGGACTCAAGCTTTTGACAACATAAAGGACATTTTAATGTAATAATTCTCTCAAAAATGACATTTATTTACAAGTTAGTTTCTAAAAAACTGAAATAATGCATGGTTTATGTTAACCATAGAGAGCAGAAGGGGTTGAACAGGAACTTCAAAATTACTTAAGGCATTTCTGAAGTACACAAAATTCTGGGGTGGTTTTTGATATGTTACACATCTGCATTGAACATAAACTCACATATATCAATATGGTTTTCACAGTCTGAAGATCAGCCCTTTGAACACTATATTCACACAATTTTGTGGCTGCTCTTTCAAGGGTGTTGTGAAGATTTGCACAGTAAAGGAAAGGAAAATACAGGCTGATTAGGTTTTTGTTGTTTTGTTTACACCCCATTCAGCTGGGCAGTTGCTGAATTTCCAACTATATGATTAAAGGACTACTGTGCTGTTGTGTGCCTCTCTCTTAAAGGTATTTAATCTGTATCCTTGTAGAAGACATAAATTATCACATTTATAGCACTGAAGTAATGATCATACCACAAAAGGTCAGTATTTCTGAATAAAAGGAAATGCCAGATGTCAGTTGTTAATCTCTTAACATTTTTGTGACCAGTATCAGACAATTAGCATCATCCCTGCACTGGGACACCAATTTTGGTAGGTTAGGACAGAGTTTTGTCTCATATTGCACATAATCACTCATTATGGTTCAAAAAGAATGCACTCTTGCACTCCTCAATTACCTCAGTCCTCATCATCACTGTGAGGATTCTGACCCTCTATCCCAAATAAGCATGGCACATAAGAAAGGTCCTGAAGAGTCTCATCAGTCCTATGATCACCTCAGTTTGATCACCCAGTACAGGACAATAAAAACAAACAGAGCAAACAGCAGCATGTAGCAATACACCTTAGTTTGGCTTCCCCTGGAGATGAGTTTCAATCTACCTATGGTGGCTCCCAACAGACCTCCAGTAGAGTCGAAGTCTGAGTCCTCGAGGAGAAACAAACATGAGATGTTACAGCTATTCAGATCAGTGTTTTGATGAAGAGACCAGATAGTGAATCGTTTCCCATCACTTACCATTTCTCCCAACATTTTATTCTGGTACTTGACTTCATTTCCAATGTCAATTGAAAGCTGAAATAGATGTAAAAAGTATAGGTCATTTAGAATTCAACACTTTATTGCCATATATATATATAGAGAGAGAGAGAGATATGATATATATATATCTCAAATACAAAAATGGTCAAAGATGAAAAAGGGTTTAAGCATAAAAACAATACTGCTTTAAATTGTTGTTTTTCCAAAAAACAGTTTTCTGTTTAATGTAATTGTATTTTTGTTTTACTGAGCAAAAAATAAATATCATACATTTTCCCCTGATTTACAGAAGAGACTCACTAAAATGTCATTCAGTGTAACAATCTTGTCAGGCATATTTACAACAAAAATCAATTTATGACATTAAAAATCTAATACTGCATCTTAGTATGATAGAAGTCAACATTTAAAGTGGTTTTGTTAACATTTGTATTGTTACATCTGCGTAATGTTGCATTTTCTCTCAAAACATTCTGTCGTCGCCATGAGAATATCAGATAATATTGCATCCAGTCAGAATCAAGTGCTTCAGAGAACCACATTATAAATGCTTTAATTCAACAAAACCATAATGTATCACATTCTGATCAATAGCATGCCATATGATGTGAGTTTTTGTTTATTTAAATATTTGTGCCTGAGAGTGTCATGAAATTCAGCCAGTGATATTCTAACATGGTAATCAAGTCTCTTTGCTTTTGTATCTGGCTTGATTTACTCATAAGTGCATTATAGGAAAAGATCCTATGATTATCTCTGTGCGCTTCCAACCTCTCTACTGATCTGCACTGATCAACTAGTTCAGATGTGTGGTATGACGTTGCGTTTAAGTGCATGCAGGGCCTCTGAAGCTGTCAGATAAGAGCACAGTCTTAATCTCCACACTAATGGACCATGGCTGATTACATGGTCACATTCACAGGTTACTTATTAATTTGTCTGAAAGGTCTGTTTTCTTTTCGCTCTACAGGTAACTAAACTATGGGATAAAATTCCAATACGAAGAAACGTTTACTTGAAGAAACAGGAAGCAGGGTTATTATCGTTAAGTTAAAACTAACAAAAAAAAACAGTAAAAAAAAAAAAGTTTATTACTTGAAATACATTTTTTTAGCTGCAATGAATAAAAAAAAACTTTCGTTTATTTTATTGCAGCTAGCCTACACTCTTAAAATAAAGGTGCTTCACGATGCCATAGAAGGACCTTTTTGTCTAAATGGTTTCATAAAGAACCTTTAACATCTGAAGAACCTTTCTGTTTCACAAAAGGTTCTTTGTGGCGAAAGAAGGTTCTTCAGATTATAAAAAGGTAAGAAAGAGATGGTTCTTTAAAGAACCTTTGACTGAATGGTTCTTTGTGGAACCAAAAATGGTTCTTCTATGGCATCGCTTGAAGAACCTTTTGAAGCACCTTTATTTTTAAGAGTGTAGGCAACATTTCTCATTTTTCTTTAGTTTCAGCTGAAGTATTAAAATAATTAACTATAAAAATGAAAAAAACATCGACATCTGTCGAACATAAAAGAAGCTATTTTAAAGAATGTGGGTAACCAAACAGTTGCATGTTCCCCATTGATTTCCACAGTATGGAGAAAAAAAATACTATGGAAGTCAATGGCTACCAACAACTGTTTGGTTAAGCACATTCTTCAAAATAGCTTCTTTTATGTTCGACAGAAGAAAGACACTCATAAATATTTGGAACAACTAGAGGGTGGATAAATCATTACAGAAACTTCATTTTGGGGCGAACTTTTTATATTAAAGGGGTGAATCCCATTAATGTGTGCTTTTTAGTTTGTTGATCCATTGATGGAGACCTAGAACTGAGTCAGTTATTGATAGTTCACTGACACAGAAAAGGACTTCAAACAAATCTGATGTCCAATATTAAGGTTAGCCTAATACTTCATATTATTGCTTCAAATGCAAAAATGAAACCATTTGAAATGTATAGCTTGAAGGTCACCTGGAGCAGCAAACTAATTACTTGCTCCACTGATGGCCAGAAATTTCAATTAACATGCAGTTCCAGTGATTTCTTTTAAACTAATCTCTTTGTGTCATAGTAAATACCGACCAAAGAAGATATCACTAATGGCTTTCTGCATAATGCATAGATAAGCACATGTGAAATTTGAAAGCATACAGTACTCATCTTCTCTTGATTAGAAAAAGTGAAAAGCTGAGGTAAAAGGGTCTTATCCACAGCATTATTGATTGTATAACTACTGTATAAGCAGAATCCGAAATTTATTGTCAAATATGTTAACACACACAAGGAATTTGTGGTGACAGAAGTTGTTCCCAGTGTGAAGAACAACAAAAACAACAGGACAGAGATAGTCCTGTTGTTTTTTTAGAGATAAAAAATGTAAGACATACGTTTGCATGATTAGCGTATTGTTATAATATATGTTTGTGTATATACTGTATACTGTGTGTGTGTTTGTGTGTGTAGCACAGCTCTTCACAAGAGAGAATGGCCTTGTGATAAGTACTATAAAAAAAACAGATTAAGAATATTGTTTGATCCCAACTTGTGTTGAAAATGACTTTTTGAAAGCTTTTTATATTGTATATGTGAAATGTGTCCTTCCTCCCTTGTAAGGAGATAAAAAAAAGAGTACACTTTAACTGCTTTATTATTATAAAGTGTGGAAATGATAAAGGCTTATAATAGAGCCAAGAACTCTGAAGATCCCATGGCCCAGATTCAGTTGTAATTAAATAGCTGTAGATGTGAATATTAGAGCATGAGGCTGAGACATTTCTTTCCTTATCTGCAGTTCAAAGTGATGTCAAGTTGGGATCACATCCTATTACCCCGAACACAGAGTGACAGAGCACTTTTCTCCTCTGGCATCTCTTTTTCTGACGTGTTCCTAACCTATCGCTGAGTTCCTGAGAGAAAATAATTAAAGATGCACGGCAGGCATCCCTAGTAACTGTCTATAGTTGTCTATGTCTATATATGTTTAAACATCTCAGGCTGTATTAATTGAAAATGCCAAAGATGTACTAAAACCGTAAACTGGCAACACATCACAAAACCTCCCGATCTCCTGAAATTCTGATCTCATTACATTTTTGAATAAATAACATTGTAACCATACAGTCATTCTGCACAGTTTACAGGTCTGGTGTCCTGCACTATCCACTGTATACAAGCATATTTTCATAACTTTGTTCATTCATTTGCACAGCTGCGTTCCTCTTCAGTGAACATAATCTCTGTTTACACTCTGTGTTGTTTTACTTTCATTAATATACAAGTTTAAAACTGTCCCTAGATATATTTTGTGCACAGACCCACATTAATAAAGCAGTCTGAGAGCTCTAATAGATAAATATCAGCAAAATATCAGCTATTGCCCAGAAGCTGTTTATCAACTCATCAAACATGCTTTATCTGTTTCTAGAAACCATTCCATACATTTCTACGCTTAAATCATAATCTAGCATGTGCAAGAAGAAATATAAAGATGTTTCTTGTACAGTAGATGAACCCTATCATAAGTTCTTCTTTTCTCGCAGAAGGTGAAATCACCATCATTTTCAGCAGAACTGGTGCATAAATTCTTGATGACTTGAGAAGAAAAATATAGCAAGTGAAGAGAGAAATTCAAGCAGTGATAAAGACCCACACAGCAGGCCAAGAACATTCTTCTAATGGAAAAGTAATGCTTTTATGACGGCCATGAAAGAGCTCTGACCTCCCAATGT